TCTACTTCTGGAATACCTCACTCAGGATAATCTTTTCTAGTTCCCACCATTTGCCCGCAAATTTCATGATTTCTTTGTTTTTAATTGTTTGTATCATTGTTTGAAAACAATAAAAAATAGTTTACACAACAGAATGAAAGTATACTGGTGTGTTTTTAATACAAAAAGTCAAATACAAAAAGTATGGTAAATACACAAAATTCTCATCCTCACTGAACTCCAGTATCTAATAACTAACCTATCAAAAACCAGTACTGTCTTTTAAAATGAGGTCTGTTTTTTAATCCCTAGAAAACTACATAGTATGTGCTGGTTTAAAATGTTTAAAATGTTCCCCACAGAAATGATACCTAGAGATAATATATTTTGGAAAGGGGAAACTGCAGTATGTAGAACTCAATATATTAGTCATTCTTGGAAAATGAATTTTTTTGTCTTGGATCATGAGAAAATTCAATCCCTGCCAGTTTAATAGAGAATGATACATTGTCCTTAACAATAAAATGAGAAATGAGTCAGAAAATAAATATATCTTGTTAAACACATATTAAAAATCTCTTTAAGAAAGGAGAAAAATTGGCAGGAGCAAGAGTGATCAACCCGGTGTTGAAAGACAGAAAGGAAAAACTCACTTCTCTGTTAAAATGAAAACGGAGAAATTATGAAGGGACAAAGTAAACAGTCTAGCACTAGGACAAAAGGCACTAGGACTAAAGCTCACATCCACATTGCGGAAAAGTGGTTAATAATAGTACTTGACCAACAAAGTAAAACCAGGTAATTGACAGTATGGACTTAGTGTTGAGAGGCTGGTAATATGACACCACTCGGTAGAAAGGTGAGAAAGAAGTGATTTAAGAAAATGAAGCAAGCCTAGGAGAATACTACATGCAGAATGGATGTGAAGAGAGAATTATTATTTTAAAGCATAATCACTGCGAAGGTATTGTAGTCAAATAGCTTCAGGAGTCAAAAGTCTGCCCTGGAGGTGGGAGTATGAACATGGTAGAGTAACTGAGGAATCAGAAGAGGAATCAGTCCAGCTCAGAGGACATGAAAAAGGAGTATAGAAAGCCTGGGGATGTAATTTGGTTTTAGAAGCATGTGGTTCTTTGTAGTGTTCACTTTACATGTACGAAGCCTTGGATTCCATTACTAGTAAGGCATGAGAAAAAAAAAAAAAAAAAAGCTGGATGTGGTGGCACACTTGTAATCCTAGCACTCAGGAAGCAGAGCTAAGAGCAACAAAAAATCAAGATCATTCTTGGTAGACTGGTGACTTCAAATTAAGACAAAAATGTATCAAAAATGATGGAAAAGGTGGTATCCAAGAAAAGAAAAAAATACTGCAGAAGATATGTAGAATCTGCAATGTTTAAATGAAAAACACCCATGAAAAGATAAGCTATTGCATATGAACTTAGAGGAAAAGAAGAATTCAAGTTAAAGATTTAAGAGCTTTCTATAATTAAGGGAACAATGGTGTGATGTAATGAGAAAGAAGAGTATTAGAGCCCAAGAGTGACTCACAGCAGAGCCTTGAGGTGATTTCAAAAGAAAATGGAAAAGGTGTGATCAACATATGATAAAAACATCAGACTTCAGTAGTGTCACAGAAAACCTGAAGAGTTTCCAAAGGAATAGATTATAAATTTTGGATTATATGCAGGGCTGTTTCCCTTCACATGAACTAAGATAGAATTAAAAAAAAAATAATTAGGTGAGTGGACAGAAAGCAGGGTGTTATGGTTGTCAGCAATGTTTTATCTTCTGTTTTAAATGACAAAATAAAAAATATCATTATTGTTTGTATAAAGGTAAAGCTTTTGTAATGTGAATAAATTTTGATTAATATCATTTAAAATATGTATTCTTCTGGGAGCTGTGTTATAAGAATAACATTGCAAATGCTAATTATTGCCTATAGATTATACTTACATAGATAATATGCCAAGAATATGCAAATCCTAACAGGAAAGTTTTAAGAAATATTCCAAAGCACTTAAAACTGACACAAAGCTCCTCTTCTTTAAGAAACTTATACCCATGCTTTGGAGTGTGTCTTAACTTCCTTCCAGACTGCCACCATCCCTAACCTTTGTGCTTAAAATCTGTTAATAATATATATATATATATATATATATATATATATATTTTAATTTACTCCAACTCTGCTTCAGTGAAGACATAAATTTGATTCACAAGCTGGAAAGTGTGGCAATTTCTTTAACTAGCACTTGAGAGATGGAAGCATGAGGAAAATGTGTTCATGGCAGTCTCAACTACATGGCAAATGTGAAATGTGAGGCCAGCCTGAGTTACATCAGACCTCTGTCAAAACAAACAAACGAAGAGACTGTATTATGGGATTCATATCATGGGATATAGCCAAAGCATACACAAAGGGACGTGTTGTGAAGTTCACAAGAACATTCTTGCCTATTTATGAAACGTAAAGCCTGTGCCTAATACCTCAGTCAGATAGGCATCCACATCTATGTTTAGTAATAAATAATTTTAGATGACAACACAGACAAAAGGAAATGTTTGTGGTCAGTTTGGCTGCTAAAATCTCTCAGATATGATTGGTAGAATGATACTAATGGAAACCAGCTCCTGTTTTCCACTGTTATTGGTGGACTGAAAGTTGGTGTCTAGAGTAAGTAAGCATGTGAAATACTAAGCAAAAAATGTTTTCTATGTGCCCCATCCCAGCAATGTCAATAGGTAGATTCCATTTGTGTGTGTGTGTGTGTGTGTGTGTGTGTGTGTGTGTGTGTGTAGCTTCAGATAATTTGGATGATCTCTTTAAAAAATAAGAAATCAGTAGGCCAGGTATTGTAGTACACAAATGTAACTAACCCTAGCACTTTGCTTAGAAAGCAGGAGGATTAGAAACCCAAAGCCATTGTAGCTACACAAGCAGTTCCAGTCCAGCCTTTGCTACATAATACCCTGTTTCAATCCACCACCACCTCCACCAAACAAAAGAAGAATTAAAAATTGTAACATGACTCAGTATAAAGCTGGTCATATATTTAGAATAAGAATCAGAAGGGACCTCAAGTTTTAAGGTTTGTTAGCTCCATGCTTAATACACTTCTGTTGATGACTAAATATTAGCAGTCAAATATGAAAAAGTAGAGAGACTAAGTAATTAGACAAAAAGAAAACAAAACACATAGCTGGAGATATAGCTCACTTGATAAGAGTGCCTGCCTAGCATGCATAAACCCCTGGTGTTGATCCCCAGAACTACACAAAGCAGGCGTGCCATCCCATATCTGCAATCTGAGCCCTGGGCAGTCGGATGTTAGAGAATCAGAAATCAAAGTTCATCCTTGGCTATGTATTAAGTTGGTCTCATAGATTTTTTAAAAAGTCAGGCTGGAGAAATAGTTCAGCCTTTAAAGGCAAGACTCACAACCAAATGTCAAAAAAAAAATTTTTTTAAGACAAAGCTTTCTTTAAGGAACATGGATGACAAACCAAGGACAAAAACAAAAACCCAGCAAAACATCAAATTGTGTAATGGTGTTAATCAATTTATACTACCTATTATCTTCATATTTCTATCCCAGTGACCAACAATCACATTGCTTCTAGAGGACTTGCCTAGAAGGCCGAGGTTCTTGTGAACACCAGTCTTTTAAACTGTAGGTATTCAACAAGTGTTCATGGAAAGAAGGAATGAAGGAATGAAAGAAGGAAGAAAAGAAGGAAGGAAGGAAAAAAGGAAGAAAGGAATGATAAATGCTCCTTTCTCTTATTCTGAACCAGGATCTGATTTCCTCTGATACTGCAGCACACATGCATATCGCTACTGTCACTGGCTAGGACTGCGAAAGCAACAGTTCACACCAGTCTGGTGATTAAGACAGCTTACCCTGAACAGGATGAGTCCAAAGTTACCTATATCTAAAACTAATATATATGCACATTTTGGACTACTCAAAAGGAGCATACATTAAAATGGATACTGTGGAGCCACTGTACTTACTCCCTCCTACTGTCTTTCTCCCTCTAAGTTAGATCTTGCACATGTATCTCTGAAATTATTAGCACCTGGGGGAAAGGGGACATGCCAGCATGGGCTTCTACCTAGAGCCAAAACATAATTCCTAAATGTTTCCAGTATGACAATATAAGTGTCAATTTAATATACAAACATTTATGAGGTCTCCAGAAAAAAAAAAAGTAGAAAAAGTTCATGTACCCCTTACTTGATGAGCCAGTTAAGCCAGGAGCACAGGAAAAGATGCAGGCTGTGCAGCTCTCAGCAAGAGCTTACAAGGCACTCTCTGACCTGCCCTTGGCTCCTGCTCTATGAAGAGACTACATTTGGGCAACAAATATCCTACACTTAAGTTCTGAAAAAAGAGCAGGAGTAGGTTGAAACTTACAGTTCCTTTAAAAAAATGACCCTTTCCTAAAAGATTCTGCCTCCGTGTATTTTTACTTGCACAGTTTTCTAAGGAATGGTGCTTTAGAGGGGAGCATAACTGAGCTAATCCATCCTGCCACTACTTCAATAGTACAGACTGAGGTTCTGTTCACAGGAAAGGATGTGAAATCAGCAAGACCAAGCAAAGACTTCAAGGATTGGGAGTGAAGGGAAAAAACAGGTCTGTGGCTTCCTAGGGAGTCTATTAGACCTCAGGAGAGTTACTGAAACTCTCAAACCACAGTTGCTTGGTTTTGTAAAATACCAAATATTTTGCCCACCCACAAGACTATTGAGGACAGAGGAAACTCACATAATGTGCTAAATGTAACTTTATAGCAAGAGCTAATTAATCATTAGTATTTAGGAGTCGGAGTTCAAATTATTTTGCCTCCCTCCACCAGTGCATACCACCAGCCCTCTTCTGGCAAGATCTGGGGCCCTCCCATAGTAACAGGCAGGAGAATGACTCTCCCAAACACAACAAGGACATTGCAAGATCCCTACCCCTCCTCAGTAAAGGCCCCTTAAGCTACTGTTAAATATCCAAACTGACCTGAGATGCCGCCTCCAATCACGACTACATCGAACATGTGGCCTGTGATATTTGGCTTCTCCAGATCCGTCATGGTTTGGGTGAAATTCTCCCAAGACTTAGGCTTAAAAGGGGGGACCGCCCAGGGTGGAACAGACCCTTGTACCGCCCCTTGCCTGGTGTCCGGGGGCGGAGCTGATCTTCTTACCCATACCCGGGGGGAAGCCCGGCACTGAGGGCGGAGCAGGCCCTTGTGCAATGACAAGGGGAACGCTCATGGGCGGAGCTGATCCTTGCTGAGATATCCAGGGAGGGCCCCGCACGCAGGGCAAGGATGGCCCTAGTATAGGGGCCGGAGGGGCATGGAAAGAAGGGGGTTCTTGAATCAAAATTCGGGGGGTATACCCTGGAAAAGTTAGGGACCTCCTAGGCACTGAGCTTTCGAGTACCAGAGGTCTTTGTAACAGCTGGCGGGAACGGAAACTAGGAGCAGAAGGAGATGATGCAGATAACCAAGCAGAGACTGACAGTGCATGGGGGAGTCTTCGGGCGACACTCTTGGGCTGTTGTCTGGAGGTTCAGGCAGTTTTAAGGAAGGCAGAGACCTGTTACATTGCACAGGACGTTCTAGTGATAATCCCCAGGGAGAGCTAGACAATGTGAATGAAGTGAGCTCCTCTATCGACCCTCGGGGAGTGCTGATCACTGAGGCAGGGATAGACCCTAGTTCTGACTTTAGAGAAAGACTAAGTACAGAAGACAAGGGGGACACTTGCGCAGAAGTCACCAAGGACCTTTGCCCAACATATCAGGATGAGTCCGGGAGTGGAATGGATCCTATTGTAGAAGAGCGCTGCGAAACAGAGCTAAGTAAGGATGGTGGAGTCTGAGGCAGGTGCGGGGACCTGATCGCTCTGGCTGTAGATAATTATGAAGTCCCGGGGATAAGACTCTGAGCTGGGGTCATTCCTCTGGCCAGAATCATCACTGAGGCTCTGAAAGTGGTTAGTGGAGTTCGAGGGACCACCCAGCTCCTGGATGGACCCGCTCATCTGAGATGAGGAAAAGAGTTGGGAGGCGGTCGGCCAGTGAGAGTCTGAGGACTCACAGGTGCTGCTGGAGGTACTGCCTAAGCGGGACACCCTCGTGGTGGCCTGAAAAGTGGCACTCCGGGTTTCCAGGGCCCATTCCACCTCACGCCCCCATCTACCGGGGACTCAGAGGAGGCCTTGTTTTCGGAGGAGAAGGCTTTGTTTTCAGACATAATTCTCACAGTGGCAGGACGCCGCTAACGGTTGCCGTGAACCCTCCCCTCAAAGGCGCTTAACTTTCAGGGCCCAGCTCTTCACTACCACTCAGAAGCCCAAGCCAAGCGCTGGGCCCACTAGGAAGCAAGAGAAGAGGCGTCAGAGTGGCGCAGCTCCGCCTTTCCCTCCGGATGCAATGACTCTTCTATGCAGCTGCAGCGATAAGCAGATACCACCACGAAGAGGAGGGGGAGAGCCTCTGTGGGCGAAGTTCGCGCGAGAGGTGGTGCGGATTATTAACCTGCCGCTTTCACAGTACCTTTTTATCTGAAAGAGGTTTGAGCTGAGGTGGACTCAAAAAAGCCTATATTTAAGAAAGACGAACACGAAGAACGAAAAGACGAGACCCTGCCTAGCTCGGTTTGGTATAGCTCTCCGATGACGTCACTAGGCGGGGCTGCCTGCACACCCCGCACCGGCCTTGGACCCGGTGGGGGAAAAAGAGGAGAGGCAAACAGCATATCCGAGGGAAAGCTTATTGGTTTTCTGTGGTGTGTTTTCAATCGAACATATCTTACCACAATCTACGCAAGTAAGCAAGAAAAATAACTCAGCTACCACAAATTAAGTGGTACCGAGGTTTAAAAACGAAAACTAAAGGATGCCTAAGGTTCAAATAAAATAAAAGAAAATGTGTGGGGCAGTGTAGAGCATAGTGAGTGGTACATGCTGTAATCCAAGCATTTCTGGAGGTCAAAACAGAGAGATTGCAAGTTCGGGGCTGGCCTACTCTACAGTGTGAGTCAACACCCTAGCAAGTAGGGTAATGGCTAGGGAGTGAGGAGAGTGGGAGGGAGAGGAGAATTCATACTAATAGTATCTTCCTACAAACACAGGATTAGTTATATTTTTTTTAAAAAAATCATTTTTGTTTGTTAAAAATTTTCACACATGCATATTAATGTATCTTGATCATCTTTACCCGTTCCACTACCTGAGACATGTCTTTTATTTTTTATTTTACTTAAAGTTTTCTTTTTTATTTTATGTATGTATTTATTTATATTTTGGATTTTGGAGACAGAGGTTTCTTTGTTTAACCTTGGCTGTCCTGGACTCCTTTTGTAGATCAGGCTGACCTCAAATTCACAGAGATCCACCTGTCTCTGTCTTTTACTGGGATTACAGGCCTGCACTACCATGCCTGACTAGGGGTTTGTGTATTATTTGTTTGTTTTTTAAGATGGACTGTCATAAGGGTTCTTGCCGGTCTGAGGAGCAAACATTTGGGGACCCAATAACTTCCCAGAGTGAGGAAGGGGTCAGGATCCAGTGAGGGAGGCAGAAAAAATACCTCTCCCTGAAAACAGGAGCCAGAGACACACAAAGAAGCCTCAAGCATCTGAACCTGTAAGATCTAGAAGGGAAGCTGGGTCTCAGAAATTAAAGTCCTTAGGGAAAGGTTTTGAGATTTAAACAGATAATTTTCTATGTTGAAAATTGAGGAAGACACAATGACACAGTGCTTCTGGATACCATCTGAGTTTGTTTCTGTTTGCATACAAATAGTTTTTTCACTGATGATTTCAGTTTTATATATCCTCTTTGGGAAGATCAGGATAAGACTTGTAATTCCAGCTCCAGTAGATCTGACACCCTCCTCCTGGTTTCTGCAGGTACTTGAACCCATATGCACTTACCTTCATATATTTAAAAACAAGAGAGGGGTTTGGGCATGGTAGTGCTAACTTTTAATCCTTAAACTCTTGAAGAATCAGAGGCAGGGGGGTCTCTTGAATTCCAGACTAACCAAGGCTACATAGTAACACACTGTAACAAACAGACAAAAAAAAGCTCCCCCCAAAACAAACAAATGAAAACAAACAAAAATAAAAACTTCACTGAAAACATCAAAAAATATTTACAAAGTGCCTCAAATCTCACACAATTTGCAAAATATCTATTTTGAAGGATTCTTTACCCCTCCCTATTCTTGGACTCTGTAAATTAAGACTGCCATTTTTTAATATAAGTCATTTAGAAAGGACTACACTTCTCACTCCTGTTCTTGGAAAGAAAAAAAAAAAAACATGGTGAAATTTTCTCCTGCATGTTAAGAAAGTGCAGAATATACTATAGCCATTTACTTTTAAAAAAAAATAGAGGAAAAAAAAGGCAAGTTAGAAAAAGAGTTTTCCTGTAAAAATAGCATTCTTTTTTTGCCTTTTCTTTTTTTAAATTTTATTTTATTAATTACACTTTATTCACTTTGTATCCCCCCATAAGCCCCTCCCTCCTCCCCTTCCAGTCCTACCCTCCCTCCCCCTTCTTCACGAATGCCCCTCCCCAAGTCCACTGATAGGGGAAGTCCTCCTCTCCTTCCTTCTGATCTTAGTCTATCAGAGCTCTTCAGGAGTGGCTGCTTTGTCATCTACTGTGGCCTGGTAAGGCTGCTCCCCCCTCACAGGGGGGTGATCAAAGAGTAGGCCAATCAGATTATATCAGAGGCAGTCCCTCTTCCCATTACTATGGAACCCACTTGGACACTAAACTGCCATGGGCTACATCTGTGCAGGGGTTCTAGGTCATCTCCATGCCTGGTACTTGGTTGGAGTATGAGTCTCTGGGAAGACCCCTGTATTCAAGTTTTTTGGTTCTCTTGCTCTCCTTGTGGGGTTCCTACCATCTCCAGATCTTACTATTTCCCACTTCTCTGCCCAACCTTTGGCCATAAGTCTCAGCATCTGCTTTGATAGTCTGCAGGGCAAAGCCATTCAGAGGCCCTCTGTGGCAGGTTTCTAGGTTGTTTCCTGTTTTCTTCTTCTGATGTCCATCCTCTTTGCCTTTAGGGATGGGATTGAGCATTTTAGTCAGGGTCTTCTCTCTTAATTAGTTTCTCGAGATGTACAGATTTTAGTAGGTTTATCTTATGTTCTATGTCTATATGAGTGAGTATATACCATGTGTGTCTTTTCTGCTTCTGGGACAGCTCACTCAGGATGATCCTTTCCAGGTCCCACCATTTACCTACAAATTTCATGATTTCCTTATTTTTCATTGCAGAGTAATACTCCATTGTGTAGATGTACCACAATTTCTGCATCCATTCTTCAGTTGAGGGGCATCTGGGTTGTTTCCAGCTTCTGGCTATTACAAATAAAGCTGCTACAAACATGATTGAGCAAATGTCCTTATTGTGTACTTGAGCCTCTTTTGGATATATGCCTAGGAGTGGTATGGCTGGATCTTGAGGAAGCGCTATTCCTAGTTGTCTGAGAAAGCGCCAGATTGATTTCCAGAGTGGTTGTACAAGTTTACATTCCCACCAGCAGTGGAGGAGTGTTCTACAGATTGGGAAAGAATCTTCACCAACCCTTTATCTGACAGAGGGCTAATATCCAGTACATATAAAGAACTTAAGAAGCTGAAAAGCAGCAAACCAAGTAATCCAATTAAGAAATGGGGAACAGAGCTAAACAGAGAACTCTTGGTAGAGGAATATCGAATGGCAGAGAAACACTTAAAGAAATGCTCCACACCATTAGCCATTAGGGAAATGTAAATCAAAACAACCCTGAGATTTCACCTTACACCCATCAGAATGGCCAAGATGAAAAACTCAAGTGACAACACATGGTGGAGAGGTTGTGGAGAAAAATAGCATTCTTTTGGAAAGAAAAACTACTTTCCTTATTTGTGGATCCTATTTATCTGACTGAATGTGTACTTACAAATGCAGGTGGTATGTGCTTGCCCTGTGGGTGCTGAGGACAGAACCCAGGGCCTTTCAAATATTAGGCAAATGCTCTCTACTACTGAGCCATACTCTCAGCTCAAAATACAATTTTTCATTCACCCTTACTTTGAAATTC